TTTTTTCAAAATTTTCCAATCGATTTATCGATTAGTTGACAACTAATCGATTTTTCGATTTTCGATTTGTATCACTATATAATTATTTTTTAAAATTCGTACGTAACACAACTCATAACAAAGATTATTGGTGCTTAGAGAGCTTTTTTATTCTTTATCGCAACATCGGTTAGAAATACTATATAAGTAACCAAAAATATCTTATAAACTTTCCAAACTACGTCAAAGGTAAATGTTTATACCTTATTTATATTTCAGTTATCATGGATTTCCCATTTTTTTCTTTTTCAGTATTATTTATTATTTATTATCGTTATTCACTAGGCTAATGCATAGCATTGTGTCCGGAGCACATGACGATTACATATAACACAAACGCGTAAGCATGCATATTTTTTGTTGTACTAAATTGATGTGATCTTCATAATATTTATGCGGCTGCATCAAAAAAGCAAATCCTAGTGGCTTAATGCATCAAAAACGTAATTTTTATATCACCATGCATATTTTCACTTTGCATGCAGAAAGTACAGAAATTAATTTCCGTCTAAAAAAAAAAAAAAAATTAAAAAATGTAGATAAACGCAAGAGTATAACATAAGGGTCCCGGTCCCTTTATGCTGGGAATGCAAGAGTAGAAACCAATTAACCAATTAATGTAACCAATTAACCAATTAATGTAGAATTCTCTGTATCGTTAGCATCGGGATTAAATCCCCTATACGTATGTGAGTGCTGCCAAAAGAAAACTATATGTCATACTTTTTGTGCATTTACTTTATACTTATTATTTCAATATCATTTGAATCGTCTTTGTGAGACGATTCGAACAATTTTAAAAGGAAATATTCAAAAAAGCATCTTGGCGTCATTCATAATTCACGTACTGTACGTACGTACGTATTTCCCTTTCGTCAACATGCATTCCCTGTCTTAGTTCCTTCGTAATACAAAAAGTGTCTTGCTCGTTATAATTCAAGTGTTCCATTGCAGACAAGCATGAAACTGCTTAAAAAAATTTCTTGATGTGTCACGTCAAACCGCCTTAGTCTTGATTATTCTTAAATATAAATAACACTAAAATTTTCCTTAACACAATATACATATCTTCTTTTTCCTTTGTAATTGATTATTATCGCTATCATCTTACGTATCATCAATATGAGTAATAAGACATTCGTATTCGATGGAGATAAAAAAGAAAGTAAAACAATATTGAGACTCTTGGAATACTTCGGGATCAACCGATCCGTTGATGTCAAGTTAAATTATTTCAATGACATTGACGACATTTCTCAACGTGTTATTGACGAATACAAACTTGATATTAAACTAAATGATCTAAGGCTCAACGCGTCTCTTATGCCTGACTCTCACAATTCTTCTGGCATTCAAGCTTACTATTATTTTGCATTTATTTTCGACGACTTGATGATTTTCAGAGGACTAGACTACATTGATCTTATCAAAGGTCTAGAAGGTAGAGAGAATAGCTTACCTCCTCTAGTATCTGAAATGCTATCTCTTTTCATGAATCACTGGAAGAAAGACTTTAAAGACAAATATACTTTATTACGAACTGAAGCGATTACATGGGCGACCGCTGTGAATCAGCAGTTACAAGTATCATTCAATCAGAATGAATACTTCATCTTTAAGCTCAAATGTCACGCATCCTACCTAACCCTTGTTCTGATGTTTCTGTTGAGAGATGTTAATTGCACTTACCTGGAATACCGAACATTGCAAACTACATTCGAGATGTTCATGTTCTATATCAATGAACTCGCCTCATGTCTTCGTGAGAAGGATGTTGGAGAACTCACATCGGTAGATAAATTGTTCAATACAAGTGATTTCTCCAGAATCTCCGAGTACTGCACCCAAGAGATCTATAAAACTATGAAAGAGTTCGAGGGCAAGTGCAATCTTATGGTATCATTAGAATTTTCGAGGTTATGCAAGAATACAGTTTTTGTACATCTAGCTTCAGAAAGATACGAAAAATTTTTCTTTGAAAAGAGTTTGCAATAATTTAGAACACAGTGCAAACACCATAAACTATAGACTATAATTTGGCTAAAAAGAATTTTTATTTTTTCTTAATTTTATAAATGCTATATCAATTTAAAGTTTTTATTGATTATATAGAATTAGCCAATCATAATATATAGTTTTAAATTTAGCACTTTTCATTGAAGTGTTGATTTATATTGTTTTGCCCTATATTATAATTGTGTACTTTCTCAATCATCATTAAAATAAATGTTATTTATTTTTATTTTTTGAAATAGTTATTTTTTTATTATTATTTTAATTAAAATTGTATATTTTACCCTTGTTATAACATATTAATCGGGGTGAGAATATAAACTATTATAATGAATATCTATTATAATTTAATTAAATTGTATAGAATTACATTATAGCGAGCGATCCGCTTTAACAAACAGTATCGTAGGAGAACTTATCCGCACATGTGATAATTGACCAATGACTTAATTATGATCATAATGTAACATGATCAGGAATTAACGTAAAAAAATTGTCCATTTTTAAAATCGTCCACAACACAAAAATTTATATAACAAACCGACTTTTACGCTCTAACAAAAATTTTTCCTTGTGAAATTTTACTATATAATGGTAATTCTTTCATTGAAATCTTAAAGCTTGTCGCAAATTAATAAACAATAAGAAATGCATTGATTATTATGTGTACGGACAATTCCCCCTACACGCTAGGTCTTTTGCGCGCTAATGAGTCTCTGTGGTAAAGATGCAGATGAGTTGGTAGTTCAGAAGTTAGTAGTTTTACTTTGAAAGTTTTCAAAGCTGATTTGGTAGGATAAGTATTGCGACTAAGCGGGTTATTTTGATAGTTTAGATAGTTAAAAGTTAATTTCCAGTGACTTTTTGTGTAACAACTATATCATTGTTTCTTTTTATAATGATTTTTAGCAGTTGTAGCTTGGTTACAACTACATGCACTTATACTAGCTATACCTATATTGGTGGTTTCAGGTTCTTTTAATGTTTGAAGACTTTTATACAGGTATAATTAGAGCTTGTTGGATCTATTAACACATACACACTTTCATGTTTTAACTTCTTATTAGCTAGAAAGAAGTTACTAAACATACAGATAAATACATATGTGAAGCATATATCATTCTGTTAAGTTTATTTCAAGAATAAAGTAGTTTTAGATAGGGTATAAAATCTATAAGTGGCACAAAATCTAGTTAATAAATAGTGAGTTATATCTTGGTTAAACAAGAAATAATGAGCTGGTTATAACCAGAGAGTTTAAATAGATAATCCCCTAGTTGAATTGCAGGTATGGTAGTTAGTATAAAATCTAGAGCAAACTATTTAAATAGGCAACCAAAAGTTGTATATATAGCTAGTTGTACTCTTGTTTGTAAAAACCAGGAAGTTTAAATAGGTAATTTTCTAGTTAGATTGTAGATATAGCAGCTAATATAGAATCTAGGTAAATCACTTAAATAGATAACTAAAAGTTGTATATATAACTAGTTGTATTCTTATCATAATTATAAACATTGTTAATTGTTTAATAAAAAGCCTTTGGCTATAGTGATTTTTTTTTTTAACTCTTTGACAATCTCATTACTATCTTTATTTTTTTTATTTTATTTTTTTTTTTGGCAACCCTGTCTTTATTTATTAAGGATTATAGTATATTAGTTATACTATATAACTAATATTTATATATTATCTAACCAAATAAAAACTCACTTGATATATAGTACCTAGGTGTGACCTGCTATTACGATTTTCATTTTATCTAAAGTTCTTAACTATACTGAGAACTTGTTTTCCAAAATCCTTAATTAGCCTCAAATACTATGTCCAAACTGCCTATATGCTATTATTCTTTGGTTTAATCTAGGAAAACCAATTTGGTTTGATATTAGATATAATTGGATTAAGAATATTTTTTGCAAACCAGGCTTTCGCTTTTTTTTTTGTTTTTTGTTTTTTTTTTTTTTTAATTTTTTTTTCCTCAATACTGTTTTCATTAGGTTTTTCTTTTGCTTTTTTCTTAGGTATGCTTGGGAATACTGTAGTATTATTTTCACTCTTATAATCTACTTGAAGAAGGTTTTCTTGATCTGGAGCAACTCTTTTTTTTTTTCCTTCTTTGAGGTTTAGTTTTCTTTTCCTCTTTGGTTATACTATAGTTTTTTTCCTATTCATTAACATTATTATATTTAAAATTCCAAATACCTTTGCAGAATTTTTCTTTGAAGTTGTCTAACAATATTTGTAGTATTTTTTTTTTTTCTATAAAATTATATATAAAGTCTTGAAGGTCTTTTTTCTTTTCTTTTGTGATCAAACTTTTAATTAGTTCTTTTCTAGATTTCAATCTTTTGGCAAGAGTTTTTCTAAAAACTTTGGCTTGAATTTCCTTGAGTGAAAGTTCTGCTGAGTTTTCTTTGGGCTTTGCTTTTTCTTTTATTTCTTTACAGATTTCTTCTTCTATACAGTTTCAGATTTTCTAATAGATTACACAAGTTGCTAGATGATTTTGGGTTTTTGGTTTTGCTAAGCATACTATATATATATTGGTCTGGTATATATTTAGGTTTCTTTGGTTGAGTTTATTTATCATTGGTAAGGCTTCACTAAGATATTTAACTCTAAATATCTAATTTTTGTTTAATTTAATACTTGTACAATTACTTTTCTTAAACTTATCTTGATTTTTCTATATTCACCTTCAATCAAAAACCTCCTTTTTAATTTCTTGATTAACTTATATTCTATTGCTATTTAAGTTTACCTATTCTATATCTAAATAATCTAAAACAATTCTATTTATACTATTTCTTATTTTGCTATTTATTTTTATATTTCTTTACCAAAGTAGAGGTCCAATCTGGATAAATCTGTCATCTATTTATCTATATCTAAATTTATCCGGATATCCATTTACTATTGGTATCTGGATAATCTGACAAATATTCAGATAATTATCCAGATATTAATAGTAAAACGGATATCTGAATAAATTCAGATCTGGATATCCAATAGATAAATAGATAAATGGATAATGGATAGGAACTCTATACCAAAGTAATATCTTTGTAAAATTTCCCTATATATTCTTGAGATCAAGCATTGGATCTTCTTTTGCTTTTTTTTTCGCTAGTCTGTTTGTAATATCATTTTTATATATGTTGCTATAGCCTTTTATTTTCTTTAAATACAGTGTTATATTTTTTTCTTTTTTAAGTTTTTGAATATATAACAGTGCACTTCTATTTTTAATTTTGAGGCTCTCTCTTAATTTGCTTATATTATTACTTTTCTTAACTACATGGATTGCTGCTACACAATCTGTAAATATAACTACTTTAGCATTTTTAGGTATAGCTAAGAGAGCTGTAAGTATGGCAAAGAGCTCTGCTTTCATTGATAATGGCCAATTTGATAGAGTATACATAAAGTTTGTTATATATTTATCAAGATCTCTCATTGCTAGCCAACTTGCACCTAGCTTGGCTTTTTCAATCATATTTTTTAGATTTAGCCAAAAGCCATTTATATAAAAAGTAATCTTTTTTTCATTTCTTAACAAGTTTAATTTTCTCTAAGCATTAATTTAACTTTTTTGCTTTCTATACTATTTTCAATTAGTTCTTCTTCTAGAGATTGCAAATTATACATATATATATACTTTCTTGCTTTGGCTATACTTCTTCACAAGCTTGCATTTTATAAGTTAAGAAGCTTTTTAGAATTTTAAGTTTTCATATTTTCTCCTCCTCCTCTTAAAGTTTCTCAAGCATATTTGTATTCAGAACCCGTTTTGCATTTTTATAATTTTTCCAAAGAGTGTATAGTTGTTAAGTATAGCTTGCATCACAGCCTTTATATCACATTAGAACAGTATTATTGGTATTGAGATCTTTTTTCTTTTTCTAATATTCGATTTGATAAGCAAATAGGCTTTTTTTCTTTATAATTTTGCCTATATTCAAATTTTTTTCTTTGTTTTCAAGTATATATTATCTATTTTTTAACTCTTTTGTTTTAACTTACTTTATTAAGACTTGCTTTTATTTCAAGGTTTTCTGAGATTAAAAGCTTAATATTTTTCTTTAATTATTCTTTGATCTATATTAGCAAGAGTCTTTTTTTCTAAGCTTTTAAACTATTTTGGCTTTTTGCCTATTACTTTGAGACTTCTAATTCTTTTAATTTGTCTTCATTTTAGTATTTTTTTTTTTTTTGAAAATAGATATTTGGTCTAGATACAAAATATTTATCTCTTTTCCTTTATAAAAATCATTTGCCTTTTTCTTATCAAGTAAGTCAATAATCTCTAGTCTTTGTTCTTTATATACTAGTGACTTCTTTAGTTCTTCTACTCTAATACTAATTTTTAAGTTGCTAGCTTCTTTTATTAGCCTGTAGATTAAATTGTTTTTAACTTTTATTTTGTCTAATCTTTCTTTTTCTAGTACTAAGATATATTTTCCACTATAGTATTTTATTTGGGCTTGTCTTGTTTTGAGCCAGGTTGCTTGTCTTAGCTTTTTATAATTATTTAGCCTTGTAACAAGTTTAGTTATATAGTGTGCTATTTGGTTTTGCTATATTGTTTGAGCTCAACAATATTCTTGTATATTAGAACTGTATTTGCCATAGTACTTGTCATATTTGCTTTATTTTTTATAAGTTTGAATATTGGGCTTTGTAATTTATCACAAACCAACCATAGTAAAATATGATATTGAAGTCTGTATTCTATTTTTGGGAGTATAACTCAATTGTTTAGATATATTAGATGTGCTAATAATACTTTTTTCTTTCTTGTAAATTAGTTACAAAAGCTATTTCCTTGCTAATCAAGCTTTTTGTAGCTTTTCTTTTTGCTTTTGCTATTATCTATATACTTAAAAATCTTGTAATTTTTTCTTTCTTTTTTGCTTAAACTTTTTTTTTTCTTGTCATATTTTTATATAATTTAGACTTTTTTTTTCTGTTTAAAACTACCA